ATCATCCATGTGATGAGACTATCCTAGCCAGTTATGTGTGAGAAGCTACCTAATCAAAGGTTGCTTAACTTACTTATGGATAATAATTTCTCTTAAATATCAAACTATAAGGTATCATTCTCTCAAAACTAACTTCCTTATTGACCAAGTGGAAACTAAAGTCAGTTTAAGTCTCTTATTACATAATGGGATAGTCCTTCATTGAACAAATAGTAGACTTCATCGAAACATCAAATCATTGGACTCTACATTACAAGCATTCACCTTTAATACCTCATAAATCACAATATTTTGATTTTCAAGTATTTCATTCCACACTTTCATTTTAAAATAATTTCACACATTTTACTTAAAGTGTATAAATCAAGAAAATTAATTAATACACAAAAGTATAAGAATGATCTCCTTCAAATACTTTAAACCTTTGAGAAGTCAAAGGTTTACCCTTCAATTACTCACTTTCAAAGTTTCACAAAGCTTCAACGGTACTAATAAGTAATTAGTCTATAATTAATTACATCGACAATTGTCAATATCTCTTTTAGGATGATTTCCAACACCTATTCAACACTTTCACATTTTCAAAATTGCAACTCTCTTATTTTTAATCACACCCATTGGGTTTACTAACTCCCATTAGATCACATTAACTTTATTGTACTCCCAAACAACCATTAATGGAGCTACATTACTCCATCTTCCTCATTTATGGAGGATTTTTGGGTATAATGACTTCCAACTACCAAAAAAGCATAAAGCCATAAATTTGGTTTAAACAACCTAAATAACTTTCATTAATTCTATCTAAGTCAATGGGTTTAAATCCATAACCTCTATCGACTGAAAACATTTTTTCAAACAAATCCTAACTCCCAACATCAATAAAATGCAAGAGGAAGAGAAGAAAAGAGCTTAAGAACCTTACTTTGATGATTGATAGCTTAAAATTGCTCTTAACTCTTTAACTTGGTAAACCCTAGCAGAGCTCTCTCGTTTCTCTTCATTCCTCTTTGTCACCTTTTCTACTTTTTGCATCTGATAGAGTTTATTTTTGTAAAATTTTGTTGTGTACCACGATGCTTGCACCACACACCACGGCATGTGGTATAGGAAAGGGATCTTTATTCTCTGATATTTACAAATAAGTATAATTAGTTTCAAACATAGAAATAATATAGTAGTTTAACACTACTCACATAAGTTTCTAAAACACCAAACTCAAGTAAATCACTAATTTTCACAATAGATACACACATACACATTTTCGTAACACTTATAACCACCAAATATACAAATAAAATGATCAGATTATCTAGTTATCTCAACTCTTTTGTAAAAAAAAGGGTTACTGTGGCAATTTAATCACCCTTCTAGATTTCGCTAGTTCAACACTCGATCAATATTTAATTTATAAGATTAAACACTAATCATTATTGTAACTCTAATTAAACCCCCTTTTGCCTAATTTTAGGCATCTACTATACCCAAATCTCTCTTTAGCAAAATTAACACTTCTAAATACTCCATTAATTTTATTTAACACCCAAACACTTAGATAACAATAAATTTCTACCCATATTGCTTCCAATCTTCAAATTTTCACTTAGGGTTTGTCCAAACCCTAATTCAAAACTTGAATTACTATAAAATCCTTAAACCTAGGTTTAGAAACTTGATTTAACTTCCCAAGTCTTTAACAAAGCTAATGGGTTTGGTCTTAAACCGAAGAAGAACAAAAACCACATCTAAAGGCCAACAACCTTAGAAATTTGAATGTAAGGGAAGGAAAGAGGAAAGAACACCTACCCTAAGGTGTTGCAAGCTCAAATTGCCTCTAAAATGCCAATAAAATGAAGCCCTAATAGACCTCAGCTCCTCCTCTATCGCCTCTTTGCATCCCTTCTTCTTCTCCCTTTATTTTCCTCGCATGCATGAGATCTAATTAAATCAAAATTTTGCATATCCATCATGGTACATGGTGTGTTTGCCACGACAAAGGCACAGTGAGGCCAGAACCAAATTTTGGGCCTTACTCGATGCTGGTTAGCTTAAACTTTAATCTAGTCTACTTCAAGGCTGTCCAACGATCTAATAGGTTCATTAGTGTTCTAAAAACATTAATTCATTAATCACTCAAATTTACGCATTTATCCTTTTTTAACACTTACAAAATTAAAATTTGAAATTGAGGATGTTACAATGACAACAGAGTAAGGAAGAGGAAGGACTCACGACTCATACCCATGCCAAAAACAAGCAGTAGACAATTTGAGGATAGCAAGGAAGAAGAAGATAAGAGATCTGAGGCTGAGTTAAGGTAGAGAAGAGATGAGGAAGAGGTGCAAAGCCTAGGTAGAATCGTCAACGAAAGAGAAGAATGGAGAGTTGATGGTGTGCGGGCTTGGAAATGTAAAGTCTGTTAAGGTAGAGATCTCAAGGAACTATGGAAGGAAAATGAAGTAAGGAAAGTGTAGTACTAAAGACTAGGTAAAAAAAGAATGCTATGAAAGAAATAAAATAATGAACGTAAAATATACGGGACGGGATAATAAGTATATGTAAATAAATATATATATATATATATATATAGGTATTCTAATATACAGGACAAGACGGGATGTCCCGATGGTAGACTTGAATCCCATCCCATCCTTATTTTTGTCCCGTCTTGATTTTTATAAGATAGACCCATCCCGACATAACTGGGACAAGTGTGGGCCAATCGAGATGGATACAATTTGAACACTCCTACTACAAACTATATTTAAAACCAACTAAATAGAATTCCAAACAAACCTTAAATTGTTTGATGGTATCCTGGTTTCTTTATTATCCCAATCTCTAAAGTAAGCTTTTAGTCTTATGGACATAGCTTTCCTTAGAATTATAGTTTGAACTCTGAAGAGCTCTATGGCTGAAGAATATGACTTTGAATGTAAACTAATACTACTTATGAAAATTTTAGTGAGGACATTTTGATCATATTTAATTGCAGTAAAGCCTCTAAAATTTTGAAATTTCACATGTGTGAGACTGAAATGAAATTAAAGAACTAACTAAAATGATCCTATTGTTCTTGGTGAAACTAGATGTATAAATAACTCGTGTAAAGAAATTAACAACTAATAGATGAAAAATAAACAATTGATATATGAGGATTTGCAAATCTCATTAACAACAAAATATCATTATAAATATAAACAAGTGAAATTAAGCACATGAAAAATGAACAATTGACATAAGTGGAATAAGAGTTGTAAATTTATAATTATATTATTAATAAAAGTTATATATTTCACCTACGTTAATTGTTCATTTTTCTTACGGCAGTTGTTAATTTTCCTATACAAGTTATTTATATGTCTAGCTTCACCAAGGATAATAAAATCATTTCAGTTAGTTCTTTAATTGTATTTTAGTCATTCACATATACAATAAAATTTTAGAATTTTAAAGACTTTGACTGAAATAAAGTTTAGTCAAAGGATCATCACTAAGATTTTTCCTACTATTATTTTATATTCAGTATAAATAAAAAAAAGCATAGAGTACTGGTAATCTGAATTCAAAATTACTTCTCAAAGGGTCTCTGGCTTTCCACAGGAAATACATCTTCAAGATTACATCTTTTACAAATGAAAGTGACAGACACATCCAATAAAAGATCTTAATAAGGCAAAACTTGGAATAATTGTATGTTACAACAATTATGCCAATTTGAGCCTAGCCTCTGCGGCCTTCAGAGTTGACAAAACCTTTTCATTTTAAAAAAAAAAATCACAATATTATCAAATTTGAGCTGGAGTGACGGATTATTTGAGTGTTTATGAAATTGTTTATTAGTATATTATCGAAAAGTAGCATCAAGAAATTAAAGCTGAGGACAACCGGAATTTTTAATTAATTGGATTGGATTGGCTTTTCAGTGTCTGGAAACCGTTCAAACACTCCCGTGAGAAATTAAAGTATTAATGCTAATTAATTGATTCTGACTATAAAGTAAGGATGCCCCTAAGTCCTGATTAAATCAGGAGAAGATGGAAAGCGACTTGGAGACGTACTATCAAGTAAAAATTTTGGGGGTGATTATTTTATTGTTTTAGATATCTTTATAGAGCTAGCTAAACGTGTTTTAAATTGCCGAATCGGTTTTAGCTGGAAAGCGTGGAAAGGACCCTCTACCATTTTGGCTTGTATTTGCTACACAATAACATTGTCCATTGACGCTAATGTTTTCTGAAAGTGTTGGTTTCTATTCTCAACCCTCAACTGAACCAGAAGACACTAGTGCTCTATTTCAGCACTTGTCTCTAAGTTTTGGATCATTTTCAATAATATTTGGTTAGTATGATCCTCAGCCTAGTGGTGCATGGATCAAGGACGAGATAACAAGCAGGTAAAATACCCATAACACAGGCATTTGGAGAGAGAGGAATAGATGCATATATGGGCGTTGTCAAAATGGATGTTGTTTGATATCTGTAGCTCCACGCCTGCAAGCAACACCATGCCGTGGCTCTTTCATTTGAATGCCAATATTATCTCAGATTTAATTGAGATTCTGGGTTTGAAAGTTAGATAAAACCGTATCTCATGATTTGAAAATTTACGAGAGTTAGTTTAAAAGGTTTCTTATAGAGGAAAATTGTACTTTTCAATTAAAGTGATTCTTATCCTGTTGGGTTAAGATGGATGACTATTCCAATTACTCACAGAAATATGAAGAAGATCATGAACATAGGCAAGAGGTACGTATTAGTAGTTGCTTTCAAAAATCAAAATATCCTTTGTGTGATTAATTATTGTGACTTTTATGAAGATTTTTATGAAAATGGAAGCGGTAGGAATGAAGAGCTAGGGACTACCTTGCATATTTGACATTCAGTTTCAAAAGCACAAGCGGCTCAATAATGAACAAAGAAAGGCACGTCAATTGGCTTCCAAACATTTGAGCAAGGCTCGATCTAGAACTACATTTTCCAGAGGAACTATCACATCTCTTATTTACTTAACAAAGAGGAAAGGCAGAATAAACTGCACTTCTTTTCTTCTTTCTTGATCTGAGAATACAAAGAGCTCAAGCTGGGTTCAGAGCAAAATATACAAACTTACAAAACAACAATTGACAATGATAAAATATCACAGTACTAAATGACTGATTCACTCCCTTCTGTCTGAGAGTGATATATTTCACTCCTATCAAATGGTTTGCTTTTCTTGGGAACATCTGCCAAGTTATAGAATTCAGTCAGTGTCTTTCTAATTTGCACCTTCTTCTTCTTTTCTGGAGGACGTGGTCCTAATAGACTCAAGTCAATGGTAGCTCCATAAGCCTGTGAAGACTCCAACACAGCATCATAAGGTTTCGAAGATAGATGAAGGCCCTCATTTTGTGCTCTCATGTACAACTCAAATGCCAACTTTGGCTTCCCATCCTTAGCAAGAGCCTCAATTAGCATTGCATAAGTTATCTCATTGGGAGTGATCTTCTGAACTTTCATCCTGTGAAACCATTCATAGGCTGCACTGCCCATGCCATTCCGTGCACAGCCACTGATTATTGCGTTGTATGTGACTACCGTGAGCTCAATTCCCAATGCTACCATCTCGGAAATGATGTCACCAACTCTGTTAAAATTTCCCAGGGCAGTATGAATTGAAGCCATAATTGTGTAGGCATATGCATTTGGCTCAACCCCAACTTTGATCATATGATCCCACACTCGAATGGCCTCATCGTAGAGCTTTCCCTTTTCCAGAGCGCTGAGTAATGCCCCATAGGAAATGATAGTAGGTTTTTCACCATTTTCCACCATTCTCTTAAATATTTGCACAGCTGCAGTAGTTTCTGAAGCCTTAGAACAGGCCACAAGAACCGCGTTCCATTCCTTGCTTCCAGGTTTCAGACCTTTATCTTCCATCTTGTTTAGCAACCTGACACCCCATCTCCAAATCCCCCTTTTCTTAGCTGCACTTAGAAGAACATTGAAGTGTGACATTATTAACTCATATGACAAGTTATTAGGCTTTGGCCCTTTGTCCAATAAATCCTCATATATCTCCAAAGCTGCCCACCACTTCTTGGCCTTCCCCATCAACCAAATTGCATGGTTGCAGGCAGACAAGCTGATTTCGTTATGCCTAGTTCTTATCCTGCTGTACAGCTCTTTTGCTACCGTGTAATGGTCTTCACGGGTACAGGCCCATACAAGCTTCTCAAGTTCTGATCGGCCTGGTGGAATCCCCGCTTTATCCATATCATCCAGCAGCTGTAAAAACTCTATTGCTCAAGTTATCATTGTTGACAAGCCAACGGCGCATTACCTGATAGCAAACACGGATTGTGAACTTTTCGAGCTTGATGTTCTCAGTCTCCCAATCTTCCCCATCATCATCTTTTCCTATTTCACCTAGACGGTATTTTTCTCCAAATTTAACGAAGAAATTTAAAGCTCCATGTCCATCTTCCATTCTTCTATAAGCCAGCAAGGCTTGAGAATAGGATACTGCAGATGGAGTGAGGCCCTTATTATGGATTTCCTCAAAAAACACTGAGGGCCTTGCTGGCTTCTCCTTTTTCTATGTAGATAGCCATCAAAGTATTATATGTCACAACATTAGGAGTGATTCCTGCTTGATCCATTTCATTCATGATCGTTTCCATTTCTGCAAATTGTTGAGACTGTTTGACTGCACCCAACAGACTATTATATATGAAAAGATTTGAGCTGAAAGAACCATCGGTTTCAGTCTTTTTCCTCTTCAAAAAATTCATAAGAATTAATGCAGAATCCATTTTCTTCTCCTTACCAAAACCTCTTATGATGGTTGAATACACCTGAGGTGGCAATTCCCCCTTGTCCGTAAGAATTGCCTCCATTTCGTCTACGGTCTTAGCAGACTGCAAGCTGAATGCAAGTGCTCGAACATCAATCTTAGTGTCATTCTCTTCTCGCATTTGTTGCTCATGATTACTGTATTGAACTTCATCCAAATTTAAACAGTTTAAACCATCTCTGTCATTGTCAAGTGATGAATCGTTCATGGAATCAGTATTCTCCCCAACAGCTTGGTCCTCCAATGCCCATGCCAAGGGAGCTAAGAATCCAATATCATTCTTCTTCGTTTTGAAAAGGGGAGCGAACTTAAATTTTACTCTGGAATTCCGGATTCCACTGCAAGCATCACTTCTATTAACTCTGGAATTTCTCGAAGAGTCAAAATCACCTATAATTCTACTCCGAGAAACAGCAAAAACAGGACCCAACTTCTTGTTCCTTCTAATTGTCGCACAGATATAGAAATAATAATCTACCTCAACGCTCAAAGGAGGAACTAAACAGTAGCTGCCATTTGAGGACCAAGCACTTAAAGTTTGCATATTTCTTTCTATGAAATTGAAAAGCAACGATAAAACAAAAACCCAACTCAAAAAAATCTTACTCGCAGCAGGAAAAGCAAAATATTTCTGCTTATGATAGCTTTTCTGGGGAAGCAGAAATGGATGAGAACAGCAACTGAAGCTCGAAATACTTTGTTCTAGATTTACGAATCTTTGGTGAATTAATCAATGAAGATTGCTCGTGCTATGAAATTCATTTAGATTTAGCTAATTGGGTTGCTCTCAAATCTCAATCCTACGATCCTGTCCTTCGGTAGGAGAAGCTTCGGGTGAGTTCAGCAGGCTAGGATGTTTGTCGGGAGCAGGTCGTGGCCTTCTTGCAACCATTGATCGAAATGAATGAATCGTATTGCTTGAAAGCGAAAACCCGAAAGGCCGGAAGCAATACGCGGAAGAGGGAAATCGAAGTAAATATGTATAAAAAGATATAAATATACTGGGGAATGAGGTTTTGGAGACCAATACATGAATTTAATTTTAGAGATAAAATTTTTTAAAACTTCAAAAAAACCCTTGGTACTGAATAATCTAATAAAATTATATAATTATCCTTACTCTCTAAAGCATTTCATGTTAAATTTTGAAAATCAATTACAAATTATTATATGGTCAAAATTCAAAATTAATTGTTAGGAGAAAAGATAATTACGTGATTTTATATTAAATTCTTAAGAACCAAAGTTACTTTATTAAAATTTTGAAAATTTTTAATCTAGAATTAAATTCACGTATTGGCCCAAGTTATCATTTCCCGCTATATTTATATTTATTTATGTATGCATGTAAAAGACATGGAAGCGGGAAATATCGGGCGACATTGCAAATTTTAATAGCACAGTTGTTTTTATATCGTTATTGAAGCGACAATCACGTTAAATATTCTTGATATTTTAAGACTATCTGCGCAACTTCAAAAGACAGTTAAAATGAAACCTGTGAATTAAACAGGGCTATGAGCACGTTACAAACTATTAATTGAAAAAGAATTGCATAGGTGATTAAGGACCACTATAGTGATTAGGAAAAACCACAACCAAGGCTGTTCAGATGGAGGGAAATTAGAAATTTTTTCCCAGTAATTTTTAGAGAACATGGTCAGAATCCAATCATATACAAATGGTTGTTTCAGCCCAAATCTTTCCATATATAATAGTCTGTTGGATGCAGGCAAACAGTATCAAGTCTCAACAATTTGCAGAAATGGAAACAATTATGAATGAAATGGCTCAAGCAGGAATCACTCCTAATGTTGTGACATACAATTCTTTGGTGGCTATCTACATAGAAAAAGGAGAAGCCGACTAGGCTCTCAGGGTTTAAAAGTAATCAACATCTAAATATTTACCATAGGAAGGCTTTAAACCAGTGGCAGCTGCTTTCATGGCCTGTCTGGGGACATCTGGAGGATGAGTGCAACGAATGAGTGCCCAATTAACGTTCTGAAAGAATGGATGTTGTTTGATTTCGGTAGCTCCACGTCTGTAAGCAAGACGATGCTGTGGCTCTTTCACAAGCAAACCCCTTATCAAGTCTCTAGCAGCAAAGCTGACACCAGGTGATTCTGGAAATCTCAAGGGCTGGCCCACCACATTGAGCAGAGTTGCTCGAGTTACTGAACCTTTGAACGGCGTTCTCCCAAACAGAAGCTCATATAAGAATATCCCAAAAGTCCACCAGTCCACAGCACTGCCATGCCCTTCTCCTTTGATAATTTCTGGAGCCAAGTACTCATGAGTGCCCACAAAGGACATCGAACGTGCATTTGTTGGCTCTGCAATAAGCTCAGGAAGAGGGGCCACCTGCTGATGCATTTCATATCTGGCTGTCAACTTTTTTTCTTTCTTGGACTTTCCGGATCGTAGGTGGGGTGTGAAACATGCAGGTTGGATGCAATCTGGCTGCATTACACAAGTGGGTTGAATGCAAGCTGGTGGAGTACAGTATCTTGAGCTTTTTGTCTTCATGGAAGGGTTTGATGATCTTACTAGAGTTGGGCTGACAGTGCACCTCAGAGAGAGGTCGAAATCTGACAGCATTATGTGACCATCTTCCCTCACTAAAACATTCTCAGGTTTAAGGTCTCGGTAGATGATCCCCAGCATGTGCAGGTACTCCAAAGCAAGAAGCACCTCTGCCACATAGAACCTGCGCAGCACAGTGCATATTGGTGAAATTCCAACACTTTTGGTGGAACCTCTCTCATCTTGTCCAATCTATTCAAACTAATATGCATATAGATCAAAGGATGATCTTTCTGTCAAAAATTTTGTAATTGGAGTAAGTTGCCGGACAATTTCCTTTCAAAGGCGATTTGTAAATTCCCAAAATAGAAGGGAGGTTAGTGTAAATTTGATAAAATATAAGAGAGATTTATATAATGTACCCAACAAAAAAGAGAGAAGAAAAAGAAACAGAAATTCAAGTCTATCTTCATTGATGTCTTGTCTCCTAAGCAGGCCATGTGACCTAGTTACCAGCAATCCTAATTCATTTGTCATTTTTGGCTGAATGACTACTATCGCAAGCTACTAGTGAGGCTATCTGAAAGAATTTAAGATTTTCAAAAGCTGCTAACCAAGCTCAAAAGTTAATGACTAACCTGGCAGCGTGCTCTGAAAAAATATTCCCAGGTTGTCTTTGCCTGAGTGCATGAAGGTCCCCACCAGGGCAGAACTCCATTACTAGGCAAGAGAATGTCTGTGTCTCAGTGTGCATATAATGTGGGCAGAAAATGGATGATCCAAAGACTGCAATATCTCTCTTCTGTCTGAACCCTAAGAAGCTTCTTGCGAGTCGCTAGTTCCGTTTTATTCATAATTTTCATGGCAAAATAAGCTCCTGTGCCAATCAACTCTGCTAGATGAACTTTTCCTACGTCTCCACTCCCCAATGTCTTCAACACCCTGAATTGTCTCATTTCCAAGATCCCATCACGTGCTCGGATCGCTTGAATTGCTTCCCATCTTACATCATTTGCCTTGTGGGGGAGCTGCTTAAGTGCTGTTGCTGCTCTCATCACTAACATCACTTACACACTTCTACAGACGCTTGTTTTTCTGCTCTCCTTAAAATAACAGGAATTAGTAACCCCGCCAATCTCACTTGACCTATCAACACTAACACCTTCACTGATTTCAGTATTAGAAAAACTTTGTCTGGCTTCTGAATAGCAAGTGGCAGAATAGAAACTACTCTGAGGGCTTGGGCAAAAAGTAACCTCTGAATGACAGTAACTCTTAATTGGATCGACCCCTCTTGATGGACCTACAGATTCTAATATGCTGCTACTCGAATCACAGTTGTTGGAAATATCATATGTTTCAATGGTGCAAATGTTCTCCCGAAACAACTTTCTCCAGTTTCAGGGAGGCTTACACGACCAGATTTCCACCGTAGTTGTAATACAACTTTGACGCATTTGGTAACTCTCCGTGTGGCACAATGTTGGATTCTAGATAAGAATGCCTTTGATTAATTACACACTCTTGTGATGGTTGATGGGATTCGTTCCATTGTCATCAAGACCAGTAAATAAGACGTAAGAAACCCCATGATTTCTAGATGCTCTTCGGGGAGGCCGGGAGGGCCGAGGAATCCAAAATGTTGAAGGAGGATCGGGATCTATCGCAGAAACTGAATTCTGAACCTCTGATAAAGGCGCAACTCCATTGACAGGAGTCGCCATCAACAAATTGACCACACACTCTCGCATCAAAATTCAACTAAGCATAGCGAATTACCAAGACGTACTTGTTTGAAAAGCTCCGAGACCTAGCCATTAATTACAGAATCTCCTGCAGTAAACACGTATAAGTTTTTCTCTTTTCAAAGATAATGACAGTTATGATGGCTGAATCAAAATACATCAATAAGAATGGCCGCGGAGAGAATTCAAAAAGCGCAAAAAGAAAACAACGTTACAGTATCAGCAAGAAAACGATTGCGGATGCGATCATAAGAAGATCATATGAATCTCAACCGTCACAAAGAAAATCGGCTAGCAATGGCGGACCCAAAATGGAAGAAACCGAACTTATTTTAATCGAAGTTCCAAGAAAAAACCACTACGATGTGTCGTGGCAGATTCAAGTATAACAAGTTTCTCAAGAACCCAGGTCACATTGAGAGGGAAGAAAAGGACAAACAAACAATAACTAGACAAAGTAACCGGCTTAACCAAAAGATTAATTAAAGTACATCGAATAGTTGATGCCAACACCTTCAATTATGAAACACAAGTTCTGAGATTCTTTAGAAACAATCATCATCTTTCTATATTTAACGGCTATATTATCAAGAAGCAGCAAGAATGGCGTTTTGGGGGGGGGGGGGCGTATAAGAAAGGAACAAAGGTAGAAGGTAAGAAAAAGCACCAGATGAGTGAAGAAAGAAGAACGTCAATGCAGATGAACACGTTGGTATGCTTGAGGAAAAGCAACTCGCCGAAAGTAAAGCAACTTTCGTTGATCTTTCTGCACCTCTTAACTCTGAAGAGCCTCAAATCCGATCAAAAGCAAGAAAAAAGGAGTAAGCAAATAAATCTGAAATAAGAATATATTTTTGCTTTTGGCAACTCAACCAGAAGACAAGCTCTCGTTTATCATTAGTCAGTTGAGAGAGATGTTTTTTAAAGTAGTACCTATATTAACAAGTAAAATGTCAAATTTTATATTAATTAGTATGTGACCCATGCATAGCATGGGATGTGAAAATCTTAAAAATAATTAAATAAAGGATGATATTTAGTTAAAACATAGAATAAGTTGCCTTTAAATAATCCTATTTTTAAAAATTGATTATTGGTTTTCAAAAAATTTGCTCACATAACTTCTCTAGATAAATGAATTGAACTAAAATGGTTAATATATAAAGTTAGATGATTGAAAGGAAAGTTTAAACGAGCTAATTTGAGAAGGGATGTATTTTTAAAGATAGTACCTATATTAACAAGTAAAATGTCAAATTTTATATAATTAGTATGTGACCCATGCATAGCATGGGATGTGAAAATCTTAAAAATAATTAAATAAAGGATGATATTTAGTTTAAAACATAGAATAAATTGCCTTTAAATAAAAAGATTAACTCATAAATTTAATTTAGAGATATTACAAGACCCAAAATTTAATAATATCACAATGCATAATGACAAAAGTTATCCAACTGTACTTAATGCCTCATTCAATAATAATGTAACTCATTTCTTATCTCAAGAATTTAATTTCTATAATTATAAGTGATTCTCAAAATTATAACCACTCAATTCATTCTTATTTTTTATTGATTGATACCCTCTTACGCTTTATCTTTTTTTTCAACTTGCTCTCCCAATTTGAGCCCCTATCCAAAAAGACCTAAAATCAATATTAAGACAATGATGGCTTTTATCAAATAAAATTAGTTTCACTTTTTGATAGAAAAGACCTGATGAGGTGAAACATTTTCTTTTAAAGCATCTTAAATGTTGGCCTCCAACATAAGGAGAGAGACAATTTGATATGTTGTTAAAAAATTTGTACTTGAGCATTAAAGAATTTGCTTTTTTTTGGTCAGAATACAAATTTTAATTATTCCATTCTTGTTCTTAACGTATATCTCTCTACATTCTTTTCCAACAATTCTTCTACAATAGCCTTATTGTAGCGTAACTTTAAAGCCTATTATAGAAACCAATTGAATAGCAATAAAAAATGGTTCTTACAATTAGTAAATATTGGGTAAATTACTATAAATTATTATGTATATGGCATAGAATAAATATTTCATTGTGGAAGCTAACCTTATTTACATAATGCTTGTCAAAATGATATTTAGGTCTCCATATATATTAATTATGTTGCTAAAAATTAAGATCATCATGAGAAGACTTTGAATATCTCTTCTCCAAAACTTCCTAACATGTCGAACAATGTCAACAACTTGTCTACCTTATCTACATATCAAAACATGCTTGGTAGCTTTTCCACTAATCTCTCACTCTCTTCACACAAAAACCATCACGGCCTTGTGTGCTTTATGGTTTTCATATCATCAATCATGTTCATTTGGATCCTACATTACACTAAGCAAGGAGAGCAAGCATAGGAATGATGATACGGGTTGATTATCTTTTGGTTTTTGTGCCTTTAATAAAAAAATGAGTTTAACATTCTAAAAACTGAAGGTGAGGGGATGATATGTGATGGTTGTATTGAAATTAAAAATGAGGATTGCTTAAAAATATAGATAAGGAGTGGTTTTTATAATTGAGTGAGAAAATTATGAAATTAAAAATTTTTCCTAACTTATAATTCAATTTTAATGTGGGAATAAGAAGTTTGGGAAGACAGGATAGTAGGAAAGTCTGGGTGGGGGGAGTTGTGATAGGGAGAAATTTTTAGGTATAGAAGAAATTATAACATTGAAATTTTCTTAAAGATTTTTCATGGTGGAAAGGATAGTGAGAAAGTTGTTAGGTGGGGGAGTTGTGATAGGTGAGAAATTTCAAGTATAGAGAAGTTATAAGTTTGAATTTTTTTTAAAGATTTTTTATGGTGGAGACTTTTCTTATATTTTTAAAAACTATTAAATTTAAAATACATCAAGGAAGTTATGATTAAAGAGGTTCGATTGTGAAATATGTAAAAATAGGAGAAAAATAAGGAAATTTCAAATATACAAATTAGATTATTTTATAAAAGATACGTAAAATTAACTGTAGGGGAAGTATAATTTTCGATTTTTTTTTTTAAATGTTTCTTCATGGTGAAGACTTTTTTTATATGTTTTAAAAATATTAAATTTAAACACATTTAAGAAGTTATGGTTAAAGTGGATAGATTGTGAAATTTTTAAAATTAGAGAAATATAAAGAAATTTTAAATATATAAATAGATGATTTTATGTAACATAATTAAAATTGTGTGTAGGGGGAGTTATAATGTGTTTTTTTTTTTTAAGTTTTTTCATGGTAAAAAATATTAAATTTAAACCAATTTAGAAAATTATGATTATTTATTTATTTAAGACGTTTGAAAGTTATGATTAAAATAGATAGATTGAGAGATTTGAAAATACAAAAAAACATAAGAAAATTTAAAATATATAAATTAGATTGTTTTATATAACATTATTAAATTTCATGTAAAACTTTGAAAATCACAACATTTTATAAATTGAAACACGTGTCAAACTTAGGAGTGCCAACTGTATTCTCCTTATATATATAAAATATAATTGAACAGTGTCAAACCTAGAATGCAGCTATTGAGGTTTATATATATGCATATGATATATATTCAACTTCTATTTCTTGCTTGAATGTTTGATTATTTTATAAATCACAAGAATTTTACAAAAAAAATCACAATTTGCCAAATATAATTCTTATATAAAAAAAACAAGTTCTCAACATATTAAATATCATTCACAACTTTTATTTAAAGAATTACAATTTTTATTCTAAAAATCACAAGAATTGAATACAAAATCACAACTTATTACTAAAGATAAAATAATCTTTTCAATTTAAAATGTATTTACAAAAAAACTGATAAAACTTCAATAAAATTATAACATTTCAAGATATCAAATTGTCATTTATATAATTCAAAAAATTTTATCACCATTTTTCAAAAAAATATCCAACATTTCACAGCAAATTGCAACAAAATAAAGTATGTAATTTTTTATTTCGCATGAAAAAGTATCATGTGATAAAATATTCTCATACCAACAAAATTCATTCCTTGATTAATTTAGCTCCGATCAAGAATTTAACTGAGGTCCTACAAAATACACTCCAGTAACACCCCCTAGGGTACTGGGTTGAATTTTACAATTCATAGCATTCGAATATCCCCATACATAGAACCACAGTATTACATAGTAAAATTAACACGACAACATTGGCCTAGGAAAGAAAAAAAAAAAAAATTTACACTACATCTAATGTGGATGAATACATGGTAAACAAAAAAAATGGTATGAATAACAGTGGGTGGGCAGAGTCTAATAAGTATTCTGTGATTAATCCTTCTTCCTTCCCGCCTGTTAGTATGGAGTTTCATCAATAGTTCTCCTGACATAGTCCACAAAAGGTTGAGGTGTCCGTGGGGGACTTGTCATTTACAACAGTAAGGCTGCTTCGATCAGGAGTGCTCGGAGCTAAACTGCTCGAGGTAGCAGTACCCCTGGTTGCTGTGACCTCCTTGGCGTGTCCTTTAATACCCAGTACACTAGCAGTAGAACCAATCCCAAGCATGATTACCCAGCTGGCTACATCAATAAGTGTCATGGATGGCGCTTTTTCTACAGGTTCATAATTCACGTCTATCTCACTCTCTGGCCTGTAAAACAGGAAACAACATAAGCCAAACTTTACCTTCACAGAGTTATAGCCCTTAGAAGGGCTCTGCTCAAGGGTTGCATCTAGATTCTCGGACCATGTATACTAACCAGTAGCTGGGAGTGTAATGGAGATTTTGTCTTCAAATTTTTTGGCATTCAGCAGTTCGATCTAACACAACGAATTAGAACAGTCAGTAAACAAGAGGAGATTTTGCATACAAAAAATGATAAAATCCATTGGAACCAGTCCGGTTGTTAGTTTTTCAGGTGAAATTTTTCAGCATGGGACATTATTCAAACGAACAAGAAAAAAAAAAGTTACATTCTTCTGTTTGCTTTTCAAACGATATTTTACCACCAGAAATTAACTTCATCAAACAAAAAACTAATTCTTATTCAATGGTTTCGAGAGCAAGCAGTGCAGGAAAAGTAGTAGTCCAGATCCTCTGCATTCACTTTCAATATTGTACCACTAGAAATTAACTTCATCCAACAAAAAGATATTCATTCTTATCAGATTGATTCTAGAGGCAGGCAGTACAGGAAAATAAGTAGTCCAGATCCTCGACATTCACAAAAGTGAATACAGAGTTCAATCATAGTAAGATAGCAAGAAAAAAATGGTGAGTGTAGTCATAAGAAGTAGACTTCATACACGCCTACTTCCTCTTGTGTCACTCTCTACAAATGCATAAATGCATGAAGGAAGAGAATCCAATTTGCAAAATAAGTGGAAAATGGTTAATTCAGTACATAAAAAGAACGAAATTTAACAGAAAACAAGGGAATGGAAACAAATTGCGGCAATTTTAGAAACTCCAAGAATGAAATATTGCGGAGGGTTGGGTGAAGGGATGGATGAAAATCTGTCATTTTTCAACCCATAATTCATGACGAATGAAAAATGGAATATTTAAAGCAAGATAATAAATGATCCAATGGTGGACACCGAAATATTATGGAGGTTGATTTAAAATCTGTCATTTTCCTCCAAATAAAGTTCTCGAACAAGGGTAAGGCCTCCATCAAAATTTTCCCTCAGTCCTTTATTCTCCATTATTTTCCATATAAACATAACCTAAATAAACCTCATGCTTTAAATTGCGACAATATTTGAAGGAACGTGCTGACATTAAATTCTGCTTAGTATAAAGGTAAGGCACCCTGCTGAACTCTTCAAGACATCAGTGAAATCCCATTAAGCAATTCAGCATAATGTACCAATTTCAAGTTCAAGCAATGATGATCATAATTTATGTTTGTGTGGGGTACCACCAGCATTTGAATTTAGGACCTCCAAGTTAAGCAATGATGATCACAGTTAAAAGCACTCACCTCATACTGTGCAGACCCTCCAATACCAAAATCTTCTTTACGGATGAGATTGATCATAATTAAATCCGTGTGACGCCACTGAATTTCAACATCTATTAAAACAAATACAGAGCTTGATGTCAGATCACTGACGAAATATTGGTCACCCAATCTTCTATAGCAATTATGCTCCACGTTACGTGAACATTAAAGCAGTGTGCTAGTAGAACCTGCATGGGTTGTATCACTGTCACCGACTAAAGCACATCCATCTCAACAAACCCCCCCCCTTTCTTTTTCAGAGAGAGAAGCGGTATGGTAGGTGAGGGAAGACTTGCAACTATCTTAGCCATTTAAATGAGTGAAAGGGATAAATCAAGTAACCTGACCCATGCACTTTGAAAGCTCTACCAAGGCATAACAGCTTACCAGTATTTCCCAAGATGGTCATGCTAGCTTTGTTACAGTCCGGTGTCAGATTCAGCTGCATCGAACTCTGGGGAAATGGGAAAAAAACAGAAAGAAGGAACTTTTGTATTCAAATATGGTTTTCGGAGGATCTAGTACTCTGAAATTTAACAGTTTGAAGTTTCACATAACTGCCCTATCTAAACAGCAGGCAATGGCATAGCCTAATAAATCAAACTTTTATGACATGCAGATGTGATCATTCAAACAATGGGGAAACAAAGGACTGATTTTGCCTCTCAAGTATGCCATTACCTTGCTCATCTCCATTATAGAAAATCCTCCAACAAAAAGTGCTGATGCAGATCCTGAAGCATGATTGGCTCCTTTAAGAGAAGCATAGATGGAGAGAGATATGTCTGGCCTCATGCCTTCTGACCTGGTTACTAAGCGCACCAAATGCTCTGGGGTGTAAGGGAAAAATAAGCAATAGGAGTTACCAGTATCCAAATCCAACCATGGTTTCGTGTACCTTCAGTTCGTGTATATAGAAGATGTTATTCTAAGAATGAACTCATTCAAGGAGAATCCTACATAAATAGGAGTAATGATAAAGAGATACCCAACAAATGGTGGATCTACTCTACAATCAAATGAAACTCCATGATTTGCTCTTGATGCTCCAAAGTTTTTACTGTAGGTGTCCCTGCTGCAATAAATTCAGACATAACAGTTGTTAAGGTGGGGTCATTCAAATCAAGCGTATGACTTCATTTACAATTCTCAAACCTGAGCTTCACAGAGAAATTGTATCCTTTTGTAGGGTAAGGTACATTAGTTAACATTTCTTTTGGAGCATCCACAGAAACAATATCTCCTTTCAAAACTCTAACTGTGGTTTGCAGTTTCAAAGTTGCACTTAGGAAAGACACTGCCCATAATAAAAAAGTTCACAATAAGAACATTTTATAATGCATTTAAAGAAACAAACATAGACAATAACAAATATAGGAAAGTAAATTTTCAGCATTCAGCACCTTGTGCTGAACCTTGCCCAAGTGCTTCAGCCATTCCAGATTGCTTGTCCACGGACATTACACTTCTATTTGAGGTAAACCACTGTCCAGAAACATTATCCTCTAAACCTGCGGGGGGGAAAAAAAGACAGAATGACACCATACTTCCCAAGAAAATTTAGCTAATAAAAATGTGAAATTTTCAATAGCCACAACCAATATGATATAATCAATTAGTTTGCCAGACCTGAGGAATGATATTACAAACAAGTCCAAGAAACCTCATTATACTATATATACTTTAAACAAAAATTCGATCAGCCTAGGTTCAATTAAGATGTAAGTTCTTCACATTATAAAACGAAGCCATCTATAAAGAGATGAAATTTTGTAAATAAAAAATTTTCACATTATGTTTCAAGCAAGACTAGTTGTGAGAAAAATGAATTAACTATAAGGGCTCAATAAAGCCTCACCTTTTAAGCTAAAGTTGAGAGGACTTCCAATGTGAAGGACTGGGTTTTGAGGATTGATATGGGCACCAGTTCTAATCTGAAAAGTTCATTGATTCAAATAGTGCAATAGGGTAGAGGAAGACAAGAGACAAGCCAAAATACAAGGATTGCTGACCAGTGGAGATAAGAAATGTAATTAGCACATAGGTTTAGTACTCAGGAAGTAATAATAAATAGATTGATTCAGATTAGTATCAAACATATTTTAAACCTAAGATCCAAAGGCCACAATATTTCCAGCCATTAAGAACCCTAGACTCTGTCTCATAAGTACCTTCTAAAGCCTTCTTACCAATTGATCCACACCCCCCCAAAAAAAAAAAAAAAGAGCAACAAAATTTCATAGATGAAATGGGTTTAACAATAGAAAAACAAAGAGATTACCACATTTTAAAGAAAAGTTCCTTCCAATCAAAAGGGCTTTCCAACGATTTTATACATCAAATAATAAAAGTAATCCATTCCCAAAGATGAGATAGTCAAAACGTCTAGCTAAAAACCCTCACTCTCCTAAGCCAAACATGCCATAATATTGGAAATTTAGTACACTGGCATAGCCTATAACCTGTAAAAAATTGCATTTACAATAACATTTTGTTTATCCCATAAAGATTTGTTTATTTAGTGGGTACATGAAATTAATAAAAAATTTCGTTCAGATTCTTTCCTTGAAAAGAGTTTTCCTTTAGGAACAAATTTATACTCAATGGTGATTACATTTAACATATCACATTCATAGCCTATTCAGCAAGAACCTAGAAGTTATCAAACCCTTCATGCATTTGGCTATTGCATTGAGTGACAATTGTTAGAGATATAGAATAAAACCATTGATGTGCCTTCTGTAAGATTAAGCTTCTGGGATCAAATCGCTCTTAACATGTTAAAGAACAAAGAATAAGTCTAAACATGAGATTATGGGCAGAAGAAAGGTGCGGTGCTTACAAGCATGAAATCTGATTTTTGTGGAGCTTCACTTAGTGAAATACGCATGAGAGCTTTGCCATGCCGAATTGCCTTCAACCAAGAACCAGTCAGCACAGGATCTAAATTAGGTAACATAGCCGAGAAACGCAATTAAGTAGCAAAATCAAATACCACACGAGGATCCAGCCAATGTTCCAAAACCATGAACTAAGATACACTTTTCAACATAAAAAGCCAAAAATATAATAGTAAAATTTTATGTCCAATCAACAGGTTCTTGCACAGTTACCAAAAGAAAAAAATTACAATCAATAAATGGCTTATCAAGGAACCATCAACAAACCTTGAGATGGACATTTCCTTTTACATGATTTGAAAAGTTTATGCGGACAACATCAGGGTAGTTAGTATCACCATGAAAGGAAACTGCATCATATGCTTCGTAGAAAGGATTTCCTGCTCAAAGACAATAACAACACAATGAAAAGTAAGGATTCTGGCTCTCAAAAATGACTTACATGCAATTAATCAGCATGGGAACAAACACACCTAGAGCATCATAACAGCTTGTTGGAATTTCAACTTCAGCACCAACAGCAAGGTCAATAACACGATGTGAAACCTCCTTACTGGTTATTCTGATTTGAGCCACCTAATCATAGTTAAGAAATTAGCAAAAGTGAGTTGAAACCTGATAAGATCCCCTTAAAGATTTATTTGCAAAAGAAATGATAGAAGATAAATTAAATCTCATTTTGTTATTTAGTTTTTGATTTAATATTTTGTTATATAATTTACATATTATGTAGGAGATTTTATTTTGATATTTAGTTAGATTTAGATTTTTATTCATTTATTTAGATCTTATTTAGATTTAGATTTTATTTAGTCTTTCATTATCTAGTTATCTAGATTTCATTTGTATTTACCTTTATAAATATTCTTAGCAACTTAGAAGCTAGCATATCATCATCAATAAAGTACTTTCCTAAGCCCTTTGGAGATTCTCCTAAATGTGGCTATTGAGAAAATATAGAACGAGATTCTTGTTTCATATTATCTTAATAGAATTTTTCTTCCCGTTTCCCTTTTATCATTTGAGTGGTTTAACAAAACCAGAAAATGGAAAGACAGAAAGGAACACCTATGCACAAAAGATATGCCTTGACCAACATGTCTCCCCATGACAAAGCCAATTATCATGTCAATAAAAAAGGATCAAAATACAAAGCAATCACAATGAGACAAATAGTAATAACTTCTTATTATGATAAAAGAAGTGAGAACAGAGAAGAGATATAAGTAGAAGATAGGTAAAGGATCTCATCCAAAAGCAATTAACCCTTGAATCAGTTCCTTAATCGATTCAATGACAAATCCAGTTTTCAGTATCTGTGAGAATAATTACAGGAATTAGAGGGATACGTCCCATAAAAATAGAGATTTGATAGGATTGGATCATTAGGAGTAATATTTGATTTTATTTCCTTTTTTGTTTTTTTCCTTTTATAGAAGGTTATGGTACGTGTATATAATCTGACCATATTACTGAATAAGATTTATTTGGTTCCTTCCTCTGGCTTGTCTTCGACCAGATGGTATCAGAGCACTCAGACACTGAACACCATCACTCAGACGAAGACGACAGAGCCGACCGAGAGTTAGACTCGCGCACTCGACCCTCTGCGTTCATGGGTTCCGGCGCTGAGGCTGACTCGAAAATCACTCCAAATGGCGGAACTCCTCTCGGGTTGAGTTTTGCCAAGGGGGCGTCCTTTGTCCTGGTTTCCGAAAAGTTCAATGGAACCAATTATCGTGAGTGGGCCCAGAGTGTTCGACTGGCTGTTAGAGGCCGCGGGAAGCTGGGTCTTATCTCAGGTACATCCAAACCACCAGACGCGTCAAACTCGGCTGCCTTGGTGAAGTGGGAGACCGACAATTCCCTGGTGGCTTCTTGGTTGGTTAACTCTATGACCCCTCAAATCAGACGGTCCTTTATGTTTCTCCCGACAGCACAGGATATCTGGGACGCAGTCAAGGAGTCTTACTCGGATGGGGAAGATGGTGCTCGAATCTATGATCTCAAACCTCGAAGTTGGCAGATCAAACAAGGTGAGCGTGATCTTACGAAATTCTGGTTGGAGTTAGTTTCAGTGTGGCAAGAGATTGATCTCAACATAGAAACCGAGTGGTCTTGTCCGAGTGATGCAGCACGGTATAAGAGGCTTATTGAAGATGAGCGAGTTTTCCAATTTTTGGCTGGTCTTCATCAGTCATTAGATGATGTTCGTAGTCGCATACTGGCTCGCTCTCCTCTACCATCTACTCGGGATGCATTTGCTGAGGTTCGTCGTGAGGCTTCTCGACGCAAGGTGATGTTACCTGGAATTTCATCAACCCTTCCTTCATCTGAGGTGTCTGCTTTAGTGAGCCGACAATCGGATCAAGGCCAAAAGGAATCAAGAGGAAATGTTGTTTGTGAGCATTGCAAAAAGACAGGCCATTCAAAAGATAAATGTTGGGACCTCATGGAAAACCACCTGATTGGAAACCACGTAAAGGTAAATCTCGTGGCTATCAAACTACTTCTGATTCTACTTCAGACAAATCTGGTTCTGCTCCAGACAAATCGGGTACCTTGCCTATCATCGACAAGGATCAGTTAAATAAGCTTCTAGAGATGCTCCATAGTTTACAATCCAACCAGTCGCCTCCATCTCATAATGCTTCCGTTGCTAAGCAAGGTAATTCGCATTTTGCATTTAATGTATGTTCCACTAAATCAAAGTGGATTGTTGACTCCGGAGCCTCAGATCACATGACTGCAGACTCTACCTTGTTTACCTCATACTTTCCCTGTAATGGCCATGAGAAGATTGACACAGCAAACGGTACATCCTCTCCCATTGCAGGAAAGGGTAGTATCATTGTTTCTAAATTTCTGCACCTTGACTCTGTCCTTCATGTTCCCTATCTTGCGTGCAATTTACTATCCATTAGCAAGTTAACTAAACAAGCCAAATGTAGTGTTCACTTCTTCTCTACTCACTGTATTTTCCAGGATCTCTCATCGGGGAGGATGATTGGCAGTGCTGAGGAGTGTGATGGGCTCTACTACCTTGATGAATCAACCGTGAGTAATCTATGGTCCCGAATCTACTGCAACCTTGTGACTACTTCTGAACAAGCTGATCTTTTGTTATGGCATAAAAGGATGGGTCATCCCAATGTCCAATATTTGAGTCATTTGTTTCCCAATTTTTCATCTAATAAAATTTCTAATTTTCATTGCGATATTTGTGAATTAGCCAAACATCATCGCTCTTCTTTTCCGCGGTCTAAATATAAGCCTTCTAAGCCTTTCTCTCTTATCCATAGTGATGTTTGGGGTCCATCTCGTGTCTCTAATCAAACTAGAGCCAAGTGGTTCGTTACCTTTATTGATGACCATACCCGTGTGTGTTGGGTATATTTAATGAAAGATAAATCTGAGGTACCTTCTATTTTTATCGAATTCTATACCATGGTTCTTAATCAGTTTAATACGTCCATCAAAATTCTCCAAACAGATAATGGCACTGAATATGTCAACAAGTCCCTAAGTGACTTCCTTAAGGCTCGGGGCATTATCCATAAGACTTCCTGTACAAATACACCCCAACAAAATGGGGTAGCCGAACGCAAAAATAAACACCTGTTGGATGTTGCCCGTGCCCTTATGTTTACCACAAATGTGCCAACATATTTCTAGGGAGATGCCATTCTTACCGCCACCTATCTCATTAACCGCATGCCCACAAAAACTCTATCCTACACCACACCCCTCGAGTGTCTCCGGCAGACCCACTCTCTCACCCATCTTGAAACCGTTCTTCCATTAAAGTTATTTGGGTGTTCTGCGTTTGTGCATCTCCATTCCTCTTCCAAGCTTGACCCACAAGCTGTCAAGTGTGTGTTTCTTTGTTACTCCTCACACCAAAAGGGATATAAATGCTTCGATCCATCCTCTAAACGCCTACTTATCAGTCATGATGTTACTTTTTCTGAATCTGAACCTTTCTATTCATCACCTTCAATTCAGAGGGAGAGTTGGAGTGAATTTCAGGAATATTCTCCCATTGAACCTATTGATTCTCTTGACCCTATTGACCATCCCACTTTGCTTGAGCCTGTCTCTTCTATTCCAGAATCAAAAGAAAATGCAAGTTCAAGGGGAGATAAGAACACAGGTGCAGAAGGTAAAGAGATCAAAGTTTACACGTGGAAGAAGAAGCATGGTACAAAAGCTCTCATACCTGAAGCAGTACCGGAATCAGAACCGATGACAGATCCTATGGGAGATAGTCCTAAAGAAGATGAGAATGATAATCCTGATGAGGAAGAAGGTTCAGAAAGTTCAGAAGATGACTTGGAGGTGCCTATTGCTCTCAAGAAGAAGCCAAGATCATGTACACAACATCCTATTCAGACGTTCCTATCTTATAAAGCCTTATCCCCAGGATATCGGGTTTTTATTGCGAATGTGGATGGTGTTTGTATCCCTAAGGACATTCATGAGGCCCTGAAAACGTCTGGATGGAGAGAAGCTGTCTTGGAAGAAATGAAAGCCTTGGAAGAAAATGAGACTTGGGAGGTTGTGCAGAAACCAAGAAACAAGAAGCTGGTTAGTTGCAAGTGGGTATTTACCCCTAAATATAAGGCTGATGGAAATCTTGATAAATTGAAGGCTAGACTGGTGGCAAGAGGGTTTACACAGACCTATGGCATTGACTACCAGGAAACATTCGCACCAGTGGCAAAATTGAACACCATCAGAGTATTGTTATCTGTAGCAGCCAATCTTGAATGGCCGTTACACCAACTAGACGTCAAAAATACCTTCCTAAATGGAGAATTGAAAGAAGAAGTTTATATGACTCTACCTCTTGGCTTTGATAAAGGAAGGAAGAATCAGGTATGTAAATTGAAGAAATCATTATATGGGTTGAAACAGTCTCCAAGAGCATGGTTTGATAGATTCTCAAAAGTTCTAAAGCTACAAGGCTACAATCAAGGACTATCGGATTATACTATGTTCGTTAAAGTAGAAGGGGGCAAGAGGTGTGTCCTTATTGTATACGTTGATGATATAATCATCACTGGTGATCATAGTGAGGAAGCGGCAAGAATAAAGGCTGTTCTTGGAAAAGAATTCAAGGTCAAAGACTTGGGTTGTCTAAAATACTTCTTGGGAATGGAGGTTGCAAGATCAAAGCAAGGTATTTATGTGTCTCAAAGGAAGTATGTACTTGATCTCTTAAAGGAGACGGGTATGCTGGGGTGTAAACCTGTTGAAACCCCTATTGTTGTTCCAAAGAAGAGGTAAGAATCCAAGAAAGAAGAGGGCAATTTAGATGAAGAGGGTAAAGAAGATAAAGAGAAAGAGAGGCCAACGGATAAAGAGAGATACCAAAGGCTTGTTGGGAAACTTATTTATCTATCTCACACACGACCTGACATAGCATTTGCTGTGAGTGTTGCTAGTCAGTATATGTGTGAACCGAAGGAAAAACATATGGAAGCTGCATACAGAATCCTAAGATACCTAAAGGGAAATCCTGGGTGAGGTTTACTGTTTCAAAAACATGAACAAAGGAACATAGAGGTGTATACAGATGCAGATTGGGGTGGACATCACCAAGACAGGAGATCTACTTCTGGGTATTGCCCATTTGTATGGGGAAATCTGGTTTCTTGGAAGAGTCAAAAGCAGAGAGTTGTATCCAAAAGCAGTGCTGAATCTGAGTTGAGAGCTCTTGCTCAAGGCATAATGGAAGAGTTGTGGCTAAAAAGGGTTCCGAAAGAAATACATGTCCAACTTGATCTGCCTCTCAAACTATATTGTGATAATAAGGTTGCCATAAGTATGGCATTGAATCCTATCCAACATGAGAGGTCCAAGCATGTGGAGATAGACAGGCACTTTATTAGAGAAAAGGTGGAAGATGGAATTGTATGCCTAGCCTTCCTACCGACAAATCTCCAAGCAGCAGATGTGTTGACAAAGGGGTTACACAAACCCGCTTTTGATAATTGTATAAGCAAGTTGGACATGATTAGCATCTATGATCCAACTTGAGGGGAAGTGTGAGAATAATTACAGGAATTAGAGGGATACGTCCTATAAAAATAGAGATTTGATAGGATTGGGTCATTAGGAGTAATATTTGATTTTATTTCCTTTTTGTTTTTTTCCTTTTATAGAAGGTTATGGTACGTGTATATAATCTGACTATATTACTGAATAAGATTTATTCGGTTCCTTCCTCTGGCTTGTCTTCGACCACAGTATCTTACTCAAGAGAATATCAGTTTGAAACCATTTCATATGCTTACATAACGTCCAGTGAGGTAAAGTTAAAAATATGAGATGTTGTGGGAGAAACTAGCATGTCCAAAGGATAGACAGTGGAGGTCAAGTTGATTAATACTCTAATGTCCCGAACTGTCTTTGTTGGATTGACATGTAGCCCACCAGCAGCACATGGAAAAGATAAAAATATCATACCTCAGCAACCTTAACACATGAAGCAATCTCTGTTCTTCCTGTGGTGCGATCTTTCGCTTGAATGCATGCTAGATTATTACTTGCAGTTGTCTTTATTCTATCTCCCTCAATGAAAATGGAATCTTTCTGTAGCGCTTCACTTCTCTCCCCAAAATTTCTCAGTAAAGAATAGTTGATAATTCCTTGGTGACTCTGACTATCTAGTTGTGTATAACTTTCGAAAGATGAAGGCAAAAGATTTGTGGATGTATAGTGGGGAGGAAGGATCCAGGTTATCGGAAATCCCATAGCCAAGGGAAGATCAGGCACCACATTGATTGATAAAGATGAACTGTAAAACCTTGACTGCATCTTTGATCCAGAAGTTGGAAATTCACATGAGAATGACACAGCAACAGTGGACTTCCCTGCAGATCTGGAAGGGAAAGAAAATCATAAGAAACAGTGAAGCGATATTAATCAGTGGTTCTGATGTATTTCTTCATGCACTTTTAAGTACCATATCTTCTAAAAAGGCTTAAGCTATCAAAAGGAGATATGATGATAATTTTCCCCAAAAAAAATGATGACCTTGAAAATTCTTACTGAATTTCAAGCAACATGGTTGCAATTTTTAAGAAAATGTAGGCCAAAAAAGTTTCAGCCTATATGCTTAACCAGAAAAAGAAACAAACAGGAACACAACCAATGAACTTTACATTAAAACCTCTAACGCACAACAAACCATTGTGATTCTGCCCATGAATCGCCATCCCTTAACTGCCAATATCCCATGTGATTATTTTGCAAAGAATCAAAAGATTCCAGCAATATATATAGTATTAGTTTCTTATGCAAGCAAACACCAAAGAATCTTACACAAATTTGCAGGATTAAAAGAACACTCAGGACCACGTGACTTTCATTTAATTTTGACCAATCACACACAAGACCTAACAGTCAACTCCTCTAACTCTCATAACAAACTGGTGCTCTCACTAGATATGTCACCTATGTATATATAAAATCCTCAAAGACTGACACTTCATGGAACTTCCCTAGAAAAATATTTTTAAAATACCATTCTATATAATTGGAAGCATGAGTTTAGGTGACCATGTGTAAAATACAATTGGTCTCCTCACAGTGCCCCTTATAAGAAAGTAATTTAGCCAACATCATCAAGACAAGTGACATAACATAATAAAACTCGTAAAGATTAATACAACCCACTACCAGCCATATAGAACAATTAGGGATAACTATCTGGTTGATAACTAGAAGCATTATATACCAACTATCATTTAGTTTAAGAAATATCAGAATGTATACCTTCCATACAAGACTTTAATAAAGCCAAGCTCAATGTCATCTGAAGAAATACCAGCTCGACTTTCTTCTGAAGCAGCCAACTGGGTGCTATACTCCTCCCCTTGAAAACTCTCTGTTCCCGTGAAACTCAGTACCTGTAGATGCATAAGACAAAGTTGTTAGACAACCTTACACCTTCGAGAGTAATTCCTTTTTGGAGGAGACTAGTTAGCTGGAAATTTTAGGAAAGCAAGGAGTGAATGGATTACTTGCTTGAGTCATTAATCTACATGGGGGGGGGGGGTAAGAAAAGTGCGATGGCTAGGTTAAATCATTCCTATCATCAATCAGTGGCCTGGTTTTGCATTAGCTATCCTTAGTGTCCTCCACTTAGTTCTAATAGCATAAATAGACACACATACGCACACACTCACATATTGCATTTCTTTAGGGATAATCATGCTTATTTTTCTAATTTTAATGTGTGTTTGAGTTCTTCAATTGTATTACTTTTAAGCAAAATTGGCATTTTGTTCACGGGTGGAAATAGTTATGCACCTTTGATGAACTTGACTTACACCCCCATACCAATCTTCAAAGCATCAAATGATACAGTTTTAGTAGTACAAATAACTGCAACAACAATATTACTAACTCCCATATTCAAAGGAGAAGATAGACTTGAAGATAAAACCAAACCTTGTCATCTTCTACAGTCCAATGGTAATTTTTACAGAGCTCATAGAAAGAAAGCAGATCTCCCTGACAATAAAAAAGTGGATAATATTAAGGTTTGAAATACACGAAAGTCAAGCCAAAAAAAGGAAATAATAAATTGGTTGAGATTTTTCCATTACGCTTTTTGATGTTACCTCAAGAAAGGATGGATAAATTGGCAATTCACGGCCAACTCCAAGTTGTTCACTTTGTGAACGCAACATAACAGTAGATGGAACTCCCACTCTTAGATTGCCATGTGCTTCACAAATCACAGTATTATCATTGATAAAGACTCTGGCAAGAACTGTCTGTTGATAGTAATGATATCTTGAATTAAACAAAAAATCTTGTACCAATCAAATGCAATTAAATGCAGAATGCATGACTGCACTGTGTCTGTGTCAAAGAAAACAAATATAAAATCTAGTTTATTTGCAACAAAAAATATGAAGAACTAGTACATGCATTCCATCCTCCACTTTCTTTTTGGATGAAGAAACAATTATTATCAAAAGAAGAACACGAGCAATTGTGAAGAAGCACCACAACACTCATAAGTATTGGGGGGGGGGGAATCCCATTAACTCTTTCTAATATTCTTAAACATCAGAAAAATAACCCCCCTTAAAACAAGCATTGGCTATCCTCCATCGAGATGCCATGGAAAAATTTCCACCCTATGGGAAGTGGAAAGCAAAGCGCTTTCTTCAGAAGTTCTCACATTGAGCCCAAAAAGAGAGCAAATAATATTCTCTAACCTACATCTACTGAATGGATAGGTAAAAGTAATGTAAAAGGAAAACTACCTACAATAAAGACCCTAAAAATTGGGAAATTTGCAAGAGACAAGAAATTCAAGGATCTGGAAATAAATCTGCCTAGAAAAGGAAACAAAATTTAGAACTAATTCCCCAAAAAAAAAAAATGAACCTGACTATAAAGAGGATGAAATGTTGACACTCCACTTATCAACCAGCACCTTTAGAACATCTACTGCTCGTTTGGTAGGCACATCCACATATGTCATGCAGATAAGACTGCTTTATTTTTCTTTGATTAAGTGTTTATCTCCCTCAACATGCTTGTTTTGGCTATGATGAAGTGGGTTTGGCTATGATGAAGTGGGTAGTGAGCAGCAATACCTATTGCTTCCTTATTGTCACAATACAACTTTGAAGGGCCCAAACTAGAAATTTTAAGCTCTTCCATTGAGAACTGGGTTGGAAGACCTGTCACTTTTTCCCATAAAAGACCAATCGATTTGTGGAAATATTGTATTTATTGTAAATATTCTTATCTGATTATTAGGAGTTAATAGGATTTGTTAGAATTATTAGTATTTATTCGCTTGTCTCCTAGCTTTGTGTATATATAGTCTCCTATATCTTATTATTATGAAAAATGGAAAATCATATTTCTCCTCCCAAAAATCTCACATGGTATTAGAGCACATTAGATCAAAACCCTAGCTAGTTTTTTGTTCTGTCGTATAGCATAGTTTTAGATTGTTAGCTGACGGAAAAAACCCTAATGGAGGACGAGAGGTGCTGTTAGATCTCACCGCCGGCCAAGGAAGGACTAGAGACCTCTGATTGGCGCAATCCTAAAGTCTGGCGTCAATCGACGGCGCAAGACGATCACACGCGCCACTCATCCATTCTATGTCAAAGGGAGAGTCTGAGCATGTGGCAGCGCATGGAGAGCTGTTTTTGGCAACGACGACCTATTCCGACAACAATGGACCATTCCCGACCTAGTCTCAGCATTTTTCGGTTATGGGTCTTCCAAGCCTTCACTTGTTCGTTGAATGTGCATACTGTCAGAACAAAATGGACTTAAAGAACACAAATACCCAGAAATTCCTAAGGGAAATGGGGCTTCTAATCTTAGAAGTAGTATGTCTCAGTCTTCTTGATCAGATTTATACCCCTTTTTCTCATCAACTTTCGATAATGGGTGATGAAGCTTGCAAAACTGCCATCAAAAGTTGTTGAATCTGATGCAGTATGTGCCAATCAGATTTCACAGTCGGTCTCTATCTTCTTGGCACAAAGAGGTAATTCTCTTCGAGCCTTAAAAACATCGAGGGCTGAAGCATTGTAGATTGTTGACTTTGGAGCATTGGATCACATGACTGATAACCACCAATTATTTTCTACATATACTCCATGTAATGGAAATTTGAAAGTCAAAATTGCAGATGGGTCTCTTGCTCCTATTTTGGGGAAAGAGAGTATTCGTATCTTCGAATCTATCACTCTAGAATCTGTTCTTCATGTACCAAAATTAGCATGCAATTTGTTGTCTGTTAGCCAACTAACAAAGCAATCTAAATGTTGTGCTAATTTTCTTCCAACCCATTGTGTCTTTTAGGATCTATCATTAGGTATGACCATTGGACGTGCTAAAGAGTGCGAGGGACTCTGCTTCCTTGAGAATGCTAGAGTGAGTCACCATCAAGCCACTAAAGTATGTAACTCTATATTGACCTCTAAAGATACAAATATTTCGTTATGGCATAAGAGGATGGGGCATCCTAATTTCCATTATTTATCTCGTTTGTTCCCAAACCTTTGCCCTACCAACCATGATGTCAAATGTGAAGTGCGTGAACTAGCAAACCACCAACAAATGTCATTTTCTAGAACACCGTATACCCCTACCAAACCGTTTGTTACCATACATAGTGATTTATGGGGTCCATCCTATATCCCAAACCACACCAAATCAAAATAGTGCATTACCTTCATCAATGATCATACTTGTGTTTGCTGGGTGTATCTCCTAAAAGACAAGTCTGAAACTGCATCCGTATTTATCAATTTCTTTACCATGATAAACACCCAATTCAACACAAATATCCAAGTTCTACACACCGATAATGGCACTGAATATTTTAACCAGGTCTTGAGTACCTTCCTTCACAAGCATGGCATTGTCCATCGAAGCACTTGTGCCCATACACCCTAACAAAACGGGATTGCAGAAAGAAAAAATAGACAGATTCTTGAAGTAGCTAGGGCCCTCATGTTCACCCATAATGACCCAAAGTTTTATTGGGGCGATGCCATCTTTCACAACAACCTATCTCATCAATCGAATGCCCAGTCGTATTTTGTCTTTTGACACTCCTCTTCAAAAATTGCGAAGTGTTTTCTCACATCTCATATTGAAACCAACGTCCCTCGTCGTGTCTTTGGGTGCACAGTCTTTGTTCACATCTATCAATCTAGTAAATTTAGACCTCGTGCTACAAAACACATATTCCTTGGTTATTCCCCTACTCAAAAGGGATACAAATGTCTTGATCCTATTTCCAAACATGTTTGTAAGCCTTGATATTACTTTTCATGAAAATATGCCCTTTTACCCCAATTCTTCAATTCAAGGGGAGAGTATAAATCTCAAACTTGGGAACAAGAGATTAACAAAGAACAAGTGCTTACCAAGAGAGTCATTACCACCTCAATTACCAGAACCATCACTTGCATCTGAACTCTTACCACCATCACCATCTCTTGTGCCAGTCATAGAAGATAATTCAACATCAGGGGAAGATATAGAGAGGCAAAAAGACAAAGACTTGTTGGTTTATTCTTGAAAGCATAAATCCAAGGAAGGAGAGCAACTTGTATTTTCAGCACCAAAGCAGTCAGAACCAGTGGTAGCTCTTGAATCACCTTAGCAAAGTCCTGAACAGGTGAGTGATCAATCTGATCTTGATTTACCCATTGCTCTCAGAAAACAACCTCGCTCTTGTACTTTACACCCAATACAGAAGCACATATCCTATAAAGCTCTTTCTCTAAGTTATCGTGCTTTTGTCACTAGTCTAGATAAAGTTGTAGTTCCCAACAATATCGAAGAAGCATTGGAAATACCAGAATGGAGAAATGCAGTCATAGAGAAAATAAGAGCCCTAAAGAAGAATGAAACATGGGAGATTGTTCAGAGGCCAAGTGGCAAGAAACCTGCAAACTACAAGTGAATTTTCACCCCAAAGTACAAGGCCGATGGTACTCTTGACAAGTTAAAAGCACGCTTGGTAGCAAGAGGGTTTATCCAGACGTATGGTATTGACTACAAAGAGACTTTTGCACTAGTGACAAAATTAAACACCATTAGAGTTCTCTTATCCATGGCAGTTAATCTAGAATGGCCACTTCATCAGTTTAACATCAAGAGTGCTTTCCTAAATGGAGAACTAAAAGAAGCTTACATGACTCTACCACCAGGATTTGATAGAGGCAGAGGTGATCAAGTATGCAGGTTGAAGAAATCTCTATATGGCCTAAAGCAATCTCCTAAGGCATGGTTTGACAGATTCTCAAAAGTCCTCAAGCGAGAAGGCTATAAGCAAGGATTGTCATACCATACAATGTTTGTTAAAGTTGAGGGAGGTAAGAGGTGCATCTTTATTGTATATGTTGATGACATTATTCGTACAAGAGATTATCTTGAGGAAATCACAAGAATAAAGGTTGTTCTGGGCAAAGAATTCAAGGTAAAAGACCTTGGTGCCTTAAAATACTTCCTTAGGATGGAAGTTGTGAGGTCAAGGAAAAGTATTTTATGTATCTTAGAGGAAGTATATGCTTGATCTTCTGAAGGAAACAGGTATGTTAGGTTGTAGGCCAGCTAAAATCCCTATTGTGGTTCCAAAGAAAAAGAAGCCTAAGAAGAATAAAGAAGAGTCAAAAGAAAATGATGATTCTTATGATGAGGTTGAAGAAGAAGACAATGAGAATGAAGAGGCCACTAATAAAGAAAGATATCAGAGGCTTGTTGGAAAGTTGATTTAACTTTCCCATACAAGACCGGATATTGGCTTTGCAGTAAGTATGGCTAGCCAATATATGTCTGAACCGAAGAAGAAGCATATGGAAGCAGTCTACAAGATTTTGAGATATTTAAAGGGTATTCCTGGTAGAGGGTTATTCTTCCAGAAACAAGTACAGGGAACCATAAAGGTCTACATAGATGCAAACTAGGGAAAAACTCATCCTAATAGGAGATCATCAACTTCTGGTTATTATTCCTTTGTTTAGGGGAACTTGGTTACCTGGAAGAATCAAAAGCAAAAGGTTGTTTCTAAAAGCAATGCTCAGTCCGAGTTAAGAGCTTTGGCTCAAGGAATAATGGAAGAGTTATGGCTAAAACGAATCCTAGAAGAGATACATATCGAAGTGGACTAACCATTAAAACTTTATTGTGACAATAAGGCAGCTATAAGCATGGCCTTAAATCCTGTTCAACATGAGAAATCAAAACATGTGGAAGTGGATAGACATTTTATTAGAGAAAAGGT